CATCTTTCCTGAATGCTTGTGATTACCCGCAGGAGAAAGAAGGAAGGTCCATCTGAGCCTAGTAACCTGCTAGGCTAGTGTGCTTAAGTGTAGTCCTTAGACAACCATCTGCAGGAAGTGACCTGAGCAGCCTCTAGTCCAACCACCCTGATTTCTGACTGACCAGGATCCATTTACAGTGAGGTCAACAGAGAGCAGACTTTGGTCAAAGTGCACAGTACGGTTTGTACTTACATCTCCAAAGCTGTAGCAGGTTGCTTTAACCCCTGTCACCACTCTCCACACAACACAGAAAGAGCTTCCAAGCTCTCCCATCTATTATTTAGAGTGGGACAAAACTGGAGGTATCTTGAGCATTGACCCCCAAACCCCATTTTAGAGAGCCAATGTCAGGGTATCTTTAGTGTAAATTACTGGTATTATTTACAGAACGGGTCTCAGCCCTTTCTCTGGAGGAGGGGTGAGATCACAGGCTGCCCATTTCTTACTGCAGAACCCCAACTCAAGCACCATTGCTTGTCATCAAGACACCTTGCTCTGTCTCTGTCTTGGACTGTATACTTGAAATGTTTTTGTGCCCTCCTCGCCAGGTCAGGGATGCAGTGTGAGCCGAGGTCCTGCACCCATCCCGAGCCACGGACAGATCCTCTCCGCAGCGAATGAGGCTTGTGCAAAAGTGAAGATTTTGGTCCCTTTATCAGCATCAAAAAATGTTACCTCCTTCCCTTCGTAGTCCAGATATACCCTGATTTTCCTGGGGACTTCTCTCAGAGTCAGGGGGCTCAGCGGGGAGGTGCAAGCCCTATACTGACCTCCCCACATCTGCACTGCCCAGATCCCCTCCTCAGGGTTAAAAATGATCTCTCCTTTCCTCTTCATAGACCTTCTGGCGACTCCCACAACCCAATCTCCCTTACCCTCCACCTCCCAGTAATGTCTCCCTGAGGTGAATGCCTCATAGCCCAGCACACAGCACCACGTGTCAAATCTTTCTGGATTGTCAGGCAGATCCTGCTGTTTGTCTGCCCATCTCACACTTTTCTGATCCTTGGACAGAGTGAGGATGGGATGAGCTGTGTTTGGATCCAAAGTCACATTTTCTGTAGGGAGGGAGAGAGAACAAGAGTATTAAGTACAATGCTGTGGGAGGGCTTGCTTTTCTCAGTGATCCAGCCTGCTGTAGCTGGAAAGTGAATTCCCTTCCTCCAGGATTCATTTGGCTTTGAATGGGGAAGAGCTCTGAGATCTCTGCAAAGTGCACAGGAGATTCACTGCCCTGTCAGAAACAGTGTAAGGGTCAGCTGAGCCAGGCCTAGGACCCAGAATCAGTGGTGAGGTGCAGAGGATGCACAGGGGTGCATGTGCATGCCCTGAGAGCACTGGTGCACCCCATGACTGGCCGCGCTCCCTGCTTAGGGGATGGCGGGTAGGGCAGGTGGGAGCACCAGTGCCTCCGCACCGTGAGTGCCGCTGGGGAGTGCAAGCACTAGCCACTCACTGGTTGGTAAGTTTTGATGTGGAGGTACTCCCTCTGGTTGGTGAGATTGGCCACGGGGGGACCCCCCACCTTGGTTGCTGACTGGTTGCTGGCAGGGCACATGCCCCCCCAACTAAGGTGGCACCAGTTCCCCATGCTCAGAAACCAGCCCTTCTATGCTTGTTTCTCACCAAGGAGGGGACTGGAGATCCTTGTATCCCAAAAGAGATCCAATGGGGGCTGTGAAGTGGAGAATATGGACACAGCTCACAGCCCCTGCAGTGCCTCCTGCCAGTGATCTACAGTTTTTGTTCCAGCTGCCCCCTTGCTAGAATTTGATATGACATCTCCTTGCTGTGCTATGATTCCCTAGGGTGACATGAGTATGAAGTATCCCTCTTTTAAAGAGCAACACACGTTTCTACTGGTCCTAGGTTTTTTTTTGATGCATATGTCATAAGACAGTCTTTGGAGAAAAAAGTAATAATTTTTTTCCCACACCACAGTCAGAAACTTCTATGCTCTGCACTATATGAATTACAGAGGGACATACCCTTTCTAGTGAATTGTGCAGTAAGCTTAGACTTGTCGGCCTTTTTATTTATTTTTTAATAAACCCTTTATGGTAAGTGCCTCTGCTTTAGGTAGCCTCTCTGGGCAGTGCCAGCCTCTTCCTGGTGGTGGGAGGGGTGAAGTGGGACTGAGGGGGTGGGCTGTGCTGCAGGTGGGAGTGGGGTGGACTCAGCTGCTGTCCCCAGTGCGAGGTGGGCAGCAGTGGTGGTTGGACTGGGAGGGGTGGCTCTGGGAACTCTGGGGTGGCGATAGGCCCCCCAAGGACCCTCTCTAATGCCACCTCAGCTTGCAGGGTGTGTGGCAGGGCACAGAGCTGCTCTAGAGCCCAGCTGAGATCTTGTGGCGGTCATGTTATCACAGCACAGCTACTGCTGGGGTCTCCGTGGAAACAGGAGTTTTAGTTTCCTGCCCTTGCAGCCGCAGAGCAAAGGATCCACTGCTTCAGTTTAGGGCGCCTGTTCCGTGAACATCCCCCCTAAACATCAGTGGGAAAGGGATGGACTGTGGGCAGAGAGAGAGCAGGCCTTAGTCCAGGTAGATGGGTGTACAATCAGCTCTATCTTATGGAGGGAAGAGCTCTCAGGAATCCCCACAGGCGCGTACACCAGCGGAGGAGGAGGAGGAGATGTGGTACTGTCTGGACGCACAGTGGCGTGGCTCTACTTTGGACCCTGCAGCAAACTTCATTCCTATAATGTGCAGCAATATGCAGGTGCTTGTGGAGGTTTCCATGTGCTATCCACTTCCACATGCGGGGAGAAGGGACATTTTCTTAAGGGAGAAGGGGATCTGGACAATAAAATATCATCTTTATTACCTTGTGTTACAGGTAGAGTACATTGTCTCCAGCCTGAAATCAACAACATAATCAAAGATGAGGAAAATACTAGGGTTCAGGAGTATACAGCGTGATACACTGAAGGGAAAAAAAATGTTTCTAGAATGTCTACCCAAAGTTATGGTGGAAGAAAGAATCAGAAACATACCTAAATCATACCTGGATCATGTGTTTCTCGCTGTTGTTAGATATGTAACAAATTCTTTTCCATTATATAATCCCATAATTTAAGTAACCATTAAATTAAAATCACATTTTACCGACAAAAAACACAAGATTTATGTTACAAATAAAAGGTTAAAAAGATTTAAACCTGTTACCACCGAAACTGGTGAAAAATCTTCCAATAAATCTCTGGGGAGTTAGAACATGGTACAGACACCGTGGTCTTGGGGAAACTGATGCATATCTTTACCTTTACATCTGTGAAGGCTCTACTTAATAAATTCTACTTCGAGCATAAACTTTAATGGCAATTAAAAACATATATGTTTTACTCAAGAAATGGCCTTTTCAGGAAAACAAACAAACAAACAAACAATTTTTGTTTTAGATAAAGGTCGTAAATTTTGTTATTAAATAATTAATTAAAACATTGTTTTTTAGTTCATGAAATACTGTGTTCCCAATAAATTAATAGTGTCAATAATTATTCTATTTTTTTCTCCATATCTCAATGAAAGTGTTTTGGCAAATAATAACAGCAAAAAAGGGGAAATGAGACTTACCGATTTCTGCAGTAAGTTTCCCTGAAAAAACAAAACCAAACAAGTAAATAGTCACCGTGTTCCAGAGGTTCTTCCTCATGGTTACCTGATCAAAGGCCTAGATTTGTTACGTATATAATTCATAAATGGTGCAGAGGTATGTATCTGATTTATAGAAAAGTTCAGCAGATACATGTAGCAGGTTTTTGTTTTAGATAAAGGTCGTTGTAAATTTTGAAATTAAATAATTAATTAAAGCATTGTTTTTTTAGTTCATGAACTGTATTCCCAATAAATTAATTGAGTCAATAATTATTCTATTGTTTCTCTATATCTCAATTAAAGTGTTTTGGCAAATAATTAAGCAGAAACATAGCATCCTAACATTAAAAAAGACCTCAAGGGTCATCTAACTGTCTACCCCTACATCTCCACAACTACATGTTTATCAAGGCTTTAAAAATTTGATTTGTTTTTACAACTAGCTTCTCATGCCTCTACAGGAATGGATGTGCAATGATTATCTGTATAGATTTATAATTTTGGAAGAAAATTTGGTCACAAATATTCATTCTGAGTTAAACTGGCAACTAAAGAGATTGCAGTTATAGATAATAATAGATAATAGAAGTAAAAGTGCATCTCTTGGCAGAGATGAAATTCTTAATTCAAAGGTAAAGAGCTGTGTGTGTGTGCGCATGCATGTGTGCACACATGCATATGTGTGCTGGAGGGTGGTCCTTTCCCTTTCTTTTTTCTGTTATCTCCTTCTATTATACAAGATTGTCAACATTATAGTTAGTTTTGTTTCATGAGATCCCTTTTCTTTGTTCTATTTTTTCAACAGAATAGTAACCAGGATACAATCCTATACAAAAGCAAAAAAGGGGAAATGAGACTTACCAATTTCTGCAGTAAGTTTCCCTAAAAACACAAAACCAAACAATTAAATATTCACCGTGTTCCAGAGACTCTTCCCTCATGTTTACCTGATCAAAGGCTTAAATTTGTTATCTATGTAATTCATAAATGGTGCAGAGGGATGTATCTGATTTACAGGAAAGCTCAGCAAATAAATGTAGTAGGTTTTTTCTTTTGGGGGTTATGACCTTCAGTACTGAAATCATAATAATCAACAAGGTGAAGTTGAATAAGGAGTTTCCATATTTATTTGCACACCACATGTATTTCCTCCTGCAATCAGCCTTCCAAAATTGGGGTGCATATTTTAAGCTGACAAGCTGATTTTCTTCACTGGCGTAGCAGAGAGGAACAGAGCACATAGACACTGACTCCTGGGAGCCAAGATGTCTGTCACTTTTCCCTGAGGCTCCAAACATCAGGAGCAAAGTCTAGTATTAACCCTCTCAAAGCTATTGACTGAACATTGTCGCTTGTGCCTGGGGGAGCAACTGAGCTGGCTCAAGGCAAGTGAGCTGCTGCATTCAGTCTGCAGTATCTCGATGAGACTTGTGTTGTGGAAACAACACTTTATTATTTACAGGAACTTATATAGGGAACTATTGACCGTCTACCCATGCAAGGGGCTGGGGCCTAGCCTTGTTGCTGTGCTGCCACACCAGAAAGTCCCTGCTTCCTTGACCAGACTTTCTCCTGGCTTGCCACATTTTCAGGACACTCCATATTTCTAGGAGGACTTACTCTATCTCACAGTGTTGGCCATGACTCTGGAAAAAAATATTTCTATAGATTCTGCCTTCCAAAAGCAAGATGTGTGTTCATATGGGGCTATAACAACGACATAAATGTGAAGATATTGGTGAGAGAGTCCTGCCCCAGGTGGATTTTTCAGGCTACACAGGTTGGGGCAAATTATCATCAGATGATTACAAAACCATCAAGAAAAGATCCAGAGGGGATGAAGAGGAATCGGTAAAACCATGGTTAATCCATCAAACTGACATAGAAGTGGCAGTTTGGGATACATAACGAGATTGCTTCAGTTGAGCAAAGAAAGAGAATTGTGGGGATTTTCCTGAAAAATGGTTGCCTGACTTAACTAGGCTCTCCATACAGGCCATTTCTCACAATTTATATTAGACAAGTTGGAAATAATGTCAGAAGGAAGGACAATAGATGGGAGAGAACAGTGCTGGAAGTATCAGGAAACAGAAGTCTAAATTTAATTTCTCTTTACGCACCGAAAAACTATGACACAGTCATGTATCTGCAGTTTGGGCACATATACACTGGTCCAGATTCTAGTTCACCCCATAGTGATATTATATCACTTGGTGCCTTCAACTGTTGGGAGCAAAATGTAGTGGGGGGAGGCACAGCCACCTGGGTTATAGCCTAACAGCACGCTGGTAAGGACATTTTCCCCTCGCTTCAAGGTGAATGTCCTACTTCACAGAAAGGTGTTCAAATCACCCAGTCACAGGCTGGGTATTATCTGAAGTCTCTCCAGCCCTTTTCTTGGCTGTGCAGAGAAAGAGACAACAGCAGCATAACAGTGAGTGGGCAAGCGGGGCTTGAGCCACAGGCACTGCCTAAGGGGAGGGTCAGGGATGGAGGTAGGGGAACATGTCCCCCTTCCCCTGCACCGTGCACCTTTCCTGCAGGTCCAGCTCCAGCAGGGGTGGGGAGAATGGCCAAGACTATGAGAATCGCGGGGACAGAAGAAGACCCAAGTGGAAGCCTGCTCCTCTAGGGAGATGCACAGGGCAGGAGCAGAGGCTGGTGGTTCATTTCTATTGGGAGAGATTTCACTTTGGGTTTTTTTATGCTGAAAACCAGTGGGGAATCACCAGCAGCAGTGAACCACCAGCTGCTGCTCCTGTACCACGTGCCCAAGGTGTAGTACTGACCAGTTATGCCTCTGGGTCATAAGTGGAGCCAGGGGGAAGAGAATAACCCAGATGGTGGCAACACAGAGAAATGGCCATGGCTTTGGAAGGGAGGAGGCCTTGGGCTCCAGCTTGGACTCTTGTTCCCAGTTGAACTGAAACTTCTCTACTCTCTATCTATTTTATCTAATGAATATTAAATGCAAGGTGCAATGCATTAGCCTGAAGGGAAAAAATAAAGAGGCCGCTTAACCCCTAACCTGGTGCTGAGAACACTGTGCTGGGAAATCAGAGGAGTGGAGGTTCAGACCAGCTGAGAAGAACCTGAAACCTGGTTTTTCCAATTCCTGGGTGGGCACCCTAACCACCAGATGAGAGGTCCCTCTTCCTTCACTGACTAACTTTTACTAATCATGGATTTTTTCCCAGCTTTAATATCAGGAGTGAGCTGGCCTTCAGTACATACCTGTACAAACATGCAGTGCAGAATGCAACACAACGGAGCAGGTCCAGTATGTGTGTTCACACTTGTGTGCACAAAGCTGAATTCCATACTGTGAAAAACTGCTATTCCCCAACTACAGATATGCCATTTAAGCATATAAAGCACAATAGGATTTAGCCTCTGGTTTCTAGGCCTCCCTCATGCTACTGAAGGTGAGCCACTGGGCAACCAGACCACAAGAATCATGGGGTCAGAAGACAACACAAGAGGGAGCCTGACTCTCAAGGCTGGGGGCTTGGAAACTCTTCTATGAAAGGAAAACCAGGTTTGGTCTCTGCTACAAGGCCTTTGGAACAAAGCCTGTCCAATGAAAAGGCTAATGAACAGTGTTGAAAAGAAAGGACAGAACCAAAGAACTGTCTTTGCTAGAATGTAATGATACGTGAGCAAAGGGAAAGGAAGACATCCTCCCATATTTTGGGCAAGTGCCTTGAAAAAACAGTATCAATCAACTGATGCCTAATTCATCGAATGGAAGTGCTGATCACTGATGGGGGTGTATAAAGAAGCTTGAGACTGTTATCACTGCAAAGGTATAGACACCGTAAGTACAGGCAGCCCTCAACTTATGACTTTTCCAGTTCTGATGAACGGCACTTACAACCATTATAAACTGGTACCCTGTGTTGAGGTTTCAACTTAATGACGCTTGATGCAGCTGCGTCCAGCTGGTAAGTCTTTTGTGGTGGAGGGGGTGGGGGCAGATCAATGGCCCAGCTGGAAAGGAGGGATTGGGGCTGGGGCTGGGATAGGGGCTGGGGTGAACACTACCCAGCTGGGACGGGGGTGTGGGACAAAGGTGAGGCTCGTCTGGGGGGCATGGGGGTGGTGGCTCCCACCGCTGTGCGCTGCTGGTCCAGGAGGGCAAGTTGGGGGTGTGTACTCCCAGATCTGTGTGGGGTGTGCAGGACCGTGGCTGCACTGCACTGCGCTCTGGGTGGGCACAGCAGTGCTGGCAACAAAGATTATGTCCTGCCGCCACTCACCCAGGTGGGACAGGGTGGGTGCAGGGTGGAACCACAGCACTGCCTCCAGGCGCGCAGAGTGCAGTGGGGGTGCCACCTCCCACATTCCTGCACCCCCTGGATGAGCTGTGTCTTTGTCCTGCACCCGCTCCCAGCCCTGGCTGGGTAGTGCTTGCCCCAGACCCTGTCCCCTCCCCCACCCCCAACCCAATCCCTGCTTCACTGCTGGGGCATTGGTCTGCCCCCTCCCCTTCCACCACAACAGATTTACCAGCTGGATGCAGGTGTATCAAGTGTCATAAAGGAACCAATATGACATTTGTAACCTTGTTCCTATGGGAAAATTTGTTTCGAGTTACAACATTTTGACTTATGACACGGTTTTCAGGAACCAATTGTGTCTTAAATCTGAGGACTGCCTGTATTAGCAGAAGAGCTTAACTAAGTTACATCCTCAACTTCAGAAACTTGCTCAAGAAACACTGGGAAAAGTTATCTACGTAGAAGGAGGAAGGCAGGGCTTTGCTTATTAAAAAAATAATCCAGGAAAAGAAACAGTTGATGCTAACAGCTTAAGAAGGGGGTGTCAGACATATGGCCTGTAGGCTAGATGCAGCTCATGGAGCTGCTGTATTTAGCTTGCTGAGGTACCTGTGTCTGGGGGATGTGGCCTACCAATGAATCTGGGGTCCTTGGGCCCTGCCACCACCCCGGACACACTGCTGCCTCAGCCACTGGTTCTGGGGATTCAACCTGACAGGAGCCCTGTAGTCTGGATCCAGTCTGGGACGCAGCGTCATTTGACAACTCTCTTAAGACTATTGCTGGACTATGATATGGAAGCTTCTTATCACTGTCATCAAGGAAAAAATTTGACCGGGCATGTTGAAATTGATAGTATGTTTCCTTCAGAGCAGAAAGCATGTCAAACACATGCTTTAGGGGAAAAGAAAGCCAAAGACCTTGATTGTTTGCTGGGTAATTATGTATAAGCATATCATAGCATGTCACACAAACAGATTGTAAAAGTGTTTGCACTGGTGAAAAAAAACCAGCCTGAGATACCAGGAAAGGCTCGTTGATGACCAGGGATCCTTGTTTTCTATGATAAAAAAAATCCCAAATTTTCTGATTTAAAAAAGTAACCTCAAATCCACATTTTTCCATGATTAAAATGAAATACCACATTTTATATATATAGTGGTGTTTCATTTTAGTCTCGGAAAAATGTGGAATTTGGGTTACTTTTTTAAGTCAGAAAATTTGGGATTTTTTTTTTTTTATCAGAGAAACCCAGGATCCCGTTGAGGCCTGTATCACCTGTTTTATGTGAAGAGTCTGAAACTATGAGCATGTCTTCACTGTAGCGACGGAAAGCCCAGTGAAGACATTACCAAAACATGCCCTATCCACTACATGGGAAAACTTACCAATATTTCCTTCTTGGGGCTGATTAGGGAACAGAAAGGCTACAGGTTTTCCATTAATACTACCCCACCAGAAACTCTGCATTTGATTTATCTGTTAGAGAACAATCTTGATCTAATTATGATCCATTTCCTTCTCCAATATTTACCTTTTCTCTTAAAGAGATGAACAGTAAGGCCAATGAAAAGAAACAAAAGCCCCAGAATCATACAAAGGGCTAGGATCCAGGGATTCATCCTGGGGAAAAATATATCTGAAAAACAGAACCCCAAAAGGACTGACATTACTATGTAAGCAGTGAAAACAAAATCACATTGCTTCCAGTTGATATAAAATTACCTCCAACCAAACTGGGCTACACAAAAAATGAAATATGGTCGTGTCTGTACTACAGAAAACACAAGTGTTTAAACAAGACTCCAGCTAACACAAAAGAGTTCGATTTCATTACTCTGCAGTGTATAGAGTATAATGAGATGTACCTAATGCCCTGTCTATATTAAAACAACAAAACACCACAACGTAAACTTTCTCTTTTATGGGTGAATTTAAACTAGTTTATAGGTATGTTTGTAAAAGCCCCAGTGCAGCCACATTTGTATTGGTAAAGCTGCTCTTATGCAGTTATAGCTTATAGGAGGGAAAATAGGCACTACAAGCCCCTTTAACAGTACAAGAATGCATATGTATATTCTGCAACGCCAACTGGATACAGCTGATATCAGCAGAGATTCACTTGTTTTAGTAGAAAGCCTGTACTAGGTTCTTCTGGTGATTGACTGTGTCAATAGTTAGGGATCACACCTCTGCACACCCCAATGGACATAGCCAGGCCAAAAGAAGTCATTTCTGTGGCTTAGACTGCTTCAGCTGATGGAGACAGTGAAAGCAGCAGAAGCAGAAGCCCATGACTGCCAGCCTGCCTGCATTCGCTATGGTGGTGCTCTGCTGGGATATCTACTTAGCAGAACTACATAGAGATTTCCTTGCAAATCAAGGTCTGTTCCACAGTTACAGGACAGTTTTTGCATGCTTGTTTTGTTGTAATGCCCACTGGAGTGAGGCTCCATTGTTATTCAGGCACCAAAAGATACATATCTCTTGCTAGTGTGTGATTTTGATTGTTTGACTTTCCTTTTAAGACAGTGGAAGGCTCTGCTTCAGACAAGATAGTGGGCTGTAAATGCTGGCAGGAAGGTTATGCAGTGGGAAGGCAGTTTGAGTATGAAGGCTTAGGTCTTACAGGCTCTCACCACAAGGGAGAAACATGGATAAAAGGGGAGAGAAAAATAGTTTTATGGCATACAACTTTCAGCATTTGGTGAAACACTCTCCTTTATCCACATTGAATTGTACACACATGTTCACAGGAAGGGGGGACCGTTTAGAAACCACATAGCATTGTATACTGAGGCTCTGTCCCACCTGCAAAACCATGCGATAATTACAACCGCCAAGATAACACCATCTTTAAAAGAAATCTCTTTTTCAGTTGGGGGAAAAAATCCATAGTAAATCCACAAAGACCTTTTGTTAATAAAGAATTAATGTTGCCGGTTGCTATTCTGTGCCTTCCAAAACGCTGCCTTTACCGAAGCCCATCTTTTAAGTGCCCAGTGTTCCCAGTCATTTGTTTTCTTAGTGTAATTTTAGATAGTCAGACAAACTTCAACTTGTTATTTGTGATACATAAGTTCCTAGAGGCTCCTTTGCACTACACCCAGAACACACATGTTAAGAGATAACTACTTCACCAGGAGTTTACAACCAAATAGACATGACAAAGTGTTGGGAAAAAAGTAGGGGCTGTAAATAACCTTCTTGTCCTTATTGTACAGATGGAGAGGCAGGCACAGAAAAGTTGATTCACTTTCCTAAGTGATGCAAATAGATCTAACAGGACAAAGAAGTGACTCTGTGTCACCTGGTGCTAGGTCACTTTCTCAAATACATGTTTGTTCCTTCACTTTGGGTTACTTTGCACATTGCACATGCACATTGCACATTGCACAGCGATATCAACCATCAATGAGTGGCTTTGCCTTATCTGACCTGATATGTAAACTGTCGACTCTTTCTCGTGATTGGCATGTCTGTTCTGGATACAACAGGACAACTTCTGATTGGTATGCTGCGCAATAATGATAGAAGCTTGTATTTCAAACAAGCCGTTCTCCACTTCAGATTTTCTTACAGATAGCGATTGTAAATGCTTCCCAGTAGCATCTCTCCACAGCACCTCTGGTTCAGGGTACCAGCCAGTAGACTGACAAACTACTCGAATCCCTCCATCCTGATAATCCTCAATTGAGATGTGTGGATTAGACCCTAAACCTGCAGAAGAATGGCAGGCATGTATTAATTCTCCAATCAATTTACATAGATATTCTGCAGAAAAGATAACACTCTGAGCAATCAATAGGCAGATTAAATGCATAATCTTTCTGAATTCCTTCTACTCCCAGGCAGAGCAAATTACACAAACTTTAAAAAATTCTTGACCTTTATCTTCATTACAGTACAACTGTTTGCCTTGAGCCCAGTGTTCCTGAGTGAATTTATTCACTACACACAGATGTGCTTTAAGGAGACAAAGTAAATTAACTCACTCCCATTTCTTATGTAGTTGTTGGAGAGAGAGAGAGGTAAGAGGGCTGTTTCCTTTCTACGAACGTGCCCAGCTGAGGTTTCTGCAAGAGTGCAAGTTACAATTTACATTATCGTCAGGACCCTTCCTGACTACAGGCTGCCACCAACTCAGCCACATCACAAAGGGCTTGTGCATGTCCCATAATGGGGCAAATAACACTAAGAAAATTCTGGATTTCAGATCACCAATTTCTAATCCATATGCAAAAGAGACCTGTGGGACTCCAAATATTAAATACTGTTTTGCAAAGGGGTAACAAAAGCTTCAACCCAAATATATGTGAAAAATCTAGTGCATGCAAAATAAGCTTCAAGATGTTTTTACTCATAAATGTAGGGAAAACAGAGATTAAAAAAAAGGGGACAGGGGAGTGAATTCCATATGCATCTTCCAGTAAAACGTCCCTGTTTAGGTCTGCTCTTTAGGTTGACTTAATCCATAGAGCTTGACCTCTGTATAGTTTACAGGCCATCTTTTTCCTTGTGTTTTACTACTCAGATTTGTTGAGCTTTCTGTCTGAAATGTGTCTGTCTCTAGGGACCTAGGAGAAAATTATTAATGTAAAAAAATGCATGTAAACATTGAGAGGATGTTTTAAGGACTGCTTTGTGCATATATGTATGTGTGTGTGTGTCTTGTGAAGTTACTTTACAAAGTGTGTGCACTTGGCACCATGTGTGTACGAGGTTCAGACGTGCTAGATTCTTACATTACCTCTGGTCAATGTAGTGTATATTGCACATTACCCAAGCTGCACAATTCATAATTTATACGAAGCTGTTACAGCCAAACCTACAGTGTTTCTTTTACTTAGGGTGTAGACACTCTTGCTTTTGACTCTGGAGTTCATTGGTCCAATCCCTGCCGTGAGCTATGATGGGGTTGTCATAGGCATGTGATAATACTGCAGCCACTGCTATGAATTTCTTCAACTGCAGATTTAAATGACTGCAGGATCCAGTCTTTTGACTCATTGTTTACTGCAGGGGTGTCAAAGATTCGGCCTGTGGAGCTATATCATCTGGCCCTGGTGCTGTGCATGGGTCTTGAAACGATGCATAGGTGGCATGGGAGGCATGCTGGATGGCCCCCATATGTTGCACATGGCACCTGCTCCATCTCACCTCCTGCACAGCCCAGCCATGTGGCAGGTGGAGCAGGACTGAGCCTCACATGGTGCCCACTCCAGATCCAGGATGTGGGGCCGGTCTAGCTCACGCCACTCATCCGGCCTGCAGAGCTGGATGAGTTTGACACCCCTGTGGTACTGTATGTGCAACTGCACTGAATCCAACACAAAGCCATCATGACTCTCTGTGCCTCCAGCTTCATTTTCACACTCATCTAAATATTTCTGTAATACTGACTGAAGAACTAGAAACAGAGCAGTTTGTCCCCACAATCCTGTATGTGTCACATCCTCCCAATATGACATCTTAGGTTTTTATTTGACTGTTTGGAAGATTACCAAATAGTAATAGTGGTCCATAGCGTTAAGTTTATGTAGACTTGTGATCCATTTTTTTTCTGTACTGCAGAAAGACGCAGGCTGCCATTTCTTTACCACATCTCATACTCGTATCACTATCATTAGAGAAAATAGGCTAATCTAAAGAGCAATTCTAGATACTGACTGAAAATCATTCTCCCCCCACAACAAATTAAAAAACACAATTTTTGTTACTTTGAGGTTTTGAAAGTTTAGCTGCATTTTTATTTTTATGGTGCTAGCCATTTTGTTTTAAAATTCTTCAAGCAATATCTACAACAACTAACTGAAAATGGACACTGTCCATAGGAATATGCTTCTTGATGAAATAACCATTTTCCAACTTCAAATGTTTTTTAAGGAAAAATACTGACCAACTCTATGCTTACAAACAAAACAAAGTAGCAAATCAAATCTGTCCAGTACAACTCATCTCAGAAAGAAATCTTGACATAAGCTACTTAAAGGTCTGGTAAAACCACCCCCACTCCAGGCTTCTTACCTGCTATCTTCAGCTCCAATGTGGCTCCTGCATAAAAAGTACTTGACTGAAAAAAACATTCATATTGTCCTTCATCGGAGGGTCTGACATTACGTATTCTCAAAGCAGCACTTCCATTGGCAATGTTCTCTTTGAGAAACTCGGTCCTCCCCTGATCTTGTGGCATCTGAAACTCAGCACGATCCTTTCCATCATGGTACAGATGTCCAGCTGATAAGACTTGGGGTCGTGACCACGTCACCTCCATGTTCTCAGCACTCATCCTAGGGGACAGGTAACAGGGTAACACAATGTCCTCACCCACGATGGCAGTGATAGGGGTGGCAGGTCCAAGCACTGTGAACTGGGCTGTGAAACATGCCAAGGGAAAGCAAAAGTCAATGTAGGTGGTCAGCGCTAATCAGAAGAATTAGGAGGGTCAACAATTTCTGTGCTAAATATTGGCTGTATCAAATACACATCCACGTGGCCTGTGCATTGGCCTTTGTATTTGTATATGAATACTCTGACTCTGCACTGCTAACACTGCTAGGAAAGAAGGCATTTCAATGGCTGTCACCAGGGAGTAGAGCCAGTGTGGGCCAGGTTCAGAGGAGCTGGATCTGGATGCCAATCTTAAGACATTGCTAGTACACATGTACTGGTGTAGATTCCCAAAATGCAGTGGAGAACCCGCTGTCCTGTCCACCACTGACATCCAATAGACAAGTGGTTACCATATCCCCTGAGACAGTGGGGTATTTTACTTTTTTGTTTCATTTATCTATAGGGATTCAATCCCAACTCTTAGAATAACCACCTCACCACCAGGAAAAAACGCTATTTTGAGATAGGGGGAACTTCCAGTCTCTCTTCTGTATGACCAGGGACTGAGCTTTTCTGAATTCAAGACTAGCATGTTAAACAAAGCTCTCACTTATTTCGTGCCTCTAGCACCCTGAACTCTGATTTCTATTTTGCAAAATGGAAGAACTTGCACAGGAAGATAAAGTGCCTGCTCCACAGCACATATACAGAGAGACCAAAGCGTGGGATTTAGGGCGTTCCAGTGGAAGATTTGTAGAAATGTAGACGTGAATCTCCTCAGCAGAAGACAGCATTCAAATTGGGTGTCTTGTACCTTGTTGAAGTGCTGTAAGTACTGAACTATTGGAGGTCACAACTGGCAGCCCCTTCTCCATCTAATCTTTCAAAGACATGTAGCAGGCTCACCTTTCAGAGCTTGGGTTGATTCCCAGACTTGAGATCCTGATGTTTTGATTGGTAGAGCCCATCCACCAATCAGGAGTCAGCAAAAGAAATAAAGTCACGCCCCTTTCCTGAGGGGAGGGGGAGAAGAGCTCCCTCCGACCTGGTTGAAGACTGTAAACTGTGAGGTCTGGAAGACATCAGGGGCGGAGCCCTGGAGCATATAAAAGGGGCTGCATGCCCAGCACGAGGATAGATGCAATGAGAGACTCAAGAAGAACGGAGCTGAGAAAAGGTGGGGAGCTCTCCCCCAGCGGGCAATAGGCCCAAGGCTCCTGAAGCTGCCACTGGAGGAGCAGCCTTGGGAGCAGTGTGAGACTGCTCGGGCTGTTGACAGCGCGGAGGGATGGTGCACAAAGACCCGGCTCTGGGAGCAGTGTGAGACTGCCCGGGCCCATCATGGAGCACAGTTCAGTGCACGGAGCCTAAGCTTTGGGAGGTGCAGGTGGCAGCTCAGGCCTGCAACCCCAGAGGGCCTGCAGGACACATGGTGTGCAGGGCAGTGCATGGGCCTGAGCCTTGGGAGCCAGGGAGCAGTGGAGGATGTTTGGGTTAGCCACCCAAACAGGATGGACGGCCGGATGGCATAAGGATGGCTGGCTGGAGCCTGAAGGGCCCAGCCTGTGCTAAAAGAGCCCTTAGTGCTGAAGCCAGGGACTGGGGAAATAGTAATGCTGCAGCATGAGGCGGGTGTGCAGGGCAGTGCATGGGCCTGAGCCTTGGGAGCCAGGGAGCAGTGGAGGATGTTTGGGTTAGCCACCCAAACAGGATGGACGGCCGGATGGCATAAGGATGGCTGGCTGGAGCCTGAAGGGCCCAGCCTGTGCTAAAAGAGCCCTTAGTGCTGAAGCCAGGGACTGGGGAAATAGTAATGCTGCAGCATGAGGCGCAGCACCCAGCAGCAGTGGTGCAGCAGCTGAGAGGAGCTGAGCCCACGATGCCCAGAGCGGGGCACAGGGTGGGGAGGAGCCCAGTGGTGCAGGAGAGGCCTGGAGAGGCGCTCCAGCAGAGGAGACCCCATCAAGCTGCATCCTGACCACTGCCACCTGAGGGAGCGTGAGTCATTGGGCCCTTGGGTCTCACAGGGGAAAGACGTTTGAGGCAGGCAAACCCAGAGAAGGGGCTGGGTATGCAGCCCCCCACCTAGTCAAGGCCCTAAGGAGAGGGGCCCCTGATGCTTCCTGGAGACCCCCTCCCCCCCACAAGGGACCCCATTGGAAGGACTATCTCTTGCCATGGGTCAGGGACTATATTAAGGAATAGATGTTATTAAGATGGTTTATGTCTGTGCCTTCAATTTTGTAATTGAAGTGTTGTGTTGTGATGTTGTAAATAGTGTTATTTAGGGTTTGATCTTGGTTACTGGTTAATGTCCACTGTGTAAATATATGTATATGATATTTAGTTTTATGTTTATGTATATTGTAACTCAATAAATTGTATATAGTTATGAACTTTGGGCTTGGGCTAACTCTATAGAGGGAAGAGGGATCTTCTCGAAATTCTGGCATCCCTCTCACAGCACCCCCTCCTGCCTACCTATCCCATCCAATTGAGACTAGGGCGCACCCTTGGGTGTAGCCGGGTTACAAACATATTCAGATTTTGAAAGAAAAGGTATAAGCACCTTATATCAGGGGATGGTTAAGGACTTTCTCCAGGTGAGGGGTGGATGCCTCCTTGCAGCCCTGAGTAAAGCACCTAAATCTGGGAGAGGAGTTTGATTTAACACACACCTGTCCCCTCTGAATTTCTTTATCACCTCACTGTTCTGGCTTCTTTGGATCCTGTTATGACATGACTCAGGGTAAGTTAGTACCTTTTGGGGGAGATGGGCCTCTATTACTTCAAACCATAAAATCTATACTCCCTGCTTACATTATTTGCAGCTCTGTCCCCATGAAGCCCAGAAGAAGAGACAAGCAGCAGAGGGACTGATTCCTAGAAGGGCTCTGTCAGGGGTATGACTAGGATATAGGCAGTAAGGGCTAGGTCCCAGAGTCACAATCCAGGAGATCAGGACCACACAAGGACAGGAAGAAAGGGCCCCAACTAGAGTCAAAGGATCAGCTTTAGGCAGGTCAGGAGGCTGAGGTCTGTAACAGACTGGGACATAGGTGGTCACCCTGGCTGGCACTACATGCTGGGGGTGAGGAGAAAGTCAAGATCAAGAGACAGGGAGCTAAACCAATACCACTAGCCAGGGGGTATGGAGCAGGAAACTATAGCTGTATGGGACTGGGGTGTGGAGAGCCATCAAGCTAAGTCATGAGCTGGTTATCAGGGAACAAAAGTTTATTACAGTCTGGAGCACAGGGGATCAAGGAGGCAGCAAGGCAGTCTGGAACAAGGAGTCAGTGGAGAGGAACCAACAGTTAGGAATCAGGAACAGCAATCAAACCAAAAAACCTGACCTAGGACACTAGGAACCAACAGCCAGGATCTAGGGACTTGGAAACCAGAGAATTCAAGGTAGCCACTAAGGATAAGGAGTCAGAAACCCAAGGATATATAAGGCATCAATTCCACTGTGCAGGTTGCTGGATGCTGAAAGGGCTCCTGCTTATAAGCAAGAAGCTATGCCCATGCGGGCAGCTGGGGCCAGCTGGACTACTATCAGCTAAGCCCACTGGGTAACAAGGGCCAGCTGGATGCAATTCAGTAGCCTCCTTGTGCTCTGACTGCTGACAAGCTCTTCTTGATATAAACAGGAAGCTTAAGTAGAGCCTTTTTAGGAGTTACAGCCACAGCTTGTTTCTTCCTCTATGCTTTACCCTAATCGTGAGCAGTGGAGATAGGCTGCAGAGGTGCACTGGGGGACTGCCTCTGCTTCCATCCTGCCTCCCTTGGGTGAATACTGAACAAACTGCAGGAGAGGTGGGGGTGGAAAACTCAGCTTTTCAGGTTGGGGGTGCTGACAATATTCAACACGGTAGAGTTAGAGAAAATGCCTAGAGGGAGACTCAGTAGCAATATAGACTTACTTTTACTCTTTCTATCTCTCTCTGCCTCTACACTTTATTAGGGAACCCAGCAGACAGAGTCTTCCTTCTCCACTCAGCACTTGGTACTAGGATCCTTCTTCACAGCTGAGGGGGAGCTGAGCACAGGAGTAACTCAATCCATAGGAACCACAGTCCTGGTATGGCATCTGTGTCTGTCTAGGTCTCCCAGAAATCTCAGTTGCTTAGCGCTTCTCTTCTATGCTTTATCCTCTGAACACTGTTTGGGGAATCTGTCTTGGGGTAAATAGACCTCCCGTGGCACAATAAGGTTCTGAATTCGAGCCCAGGGCTCTGATGCTTCTCAGCAAAAAGGAAACTTCATATTATTTTGACTTTAACAATACTACTACTTATAAAGCACCCCTCACATATACTCTCAACTGAACATCAGTCCTACAAACAATTTCTTATTAATTAAAAAACAAAACAAAACATGCCAACAGCAACGAAATTGCAAGCAGGTGGGTAACAATGAAGCAACAAAAGTAGCTGTAGTCATTATTGAAAACAAGCAAACTATGGGAAAAAGATTTTTCTCTTGAAGTGGGGAAAATAAAATGAACCAAATAAGAACCTGCTTCTGCTTCTACAGCACTGGGGCTCTCATGGCAAATCCTTGCAAACCTGACAGCACGGCCAGAAGATCTGAGCTTTCACAAATGGAATTACATCTCATAAGTAAAAGGAAAGAGGATATAATGCATACTGAAGGAAAGAGGATTCTTACCTGAGTCCAGCTTATGAAGAGGGAGAGAAATGAGGAAAATGATGAGGCTGGGAAGAGAATCCCAATGGAGGAAGGGAATTTTACATTTCATTCTAGTTTTCTCAAGTGAACAGATGAGGTAGTGGTATTTGTGGTAGTGGAGTTGTGTCTCTGAAGAATCAGATACCAGACTTTCCTCTTACATTGGGTTTGTGAGTCCCCTTCTATATCTCCCTTCAGCAACTTTGAAAGGTAATGAAGAAAATCAGCAGCTGAGCCCCAATAGATTCCTGCTCAGGGTGTAGAGATATGTAATCTTCTTAAAGAAATACCTATAATCCCAATGAGATTGACATTTTTATTTCCACAAAAGTTGAGTCTTTCTCTCT